ATAGGGATGGCTGGTTTGCTCACTGGCTGAGCGTGGTGCTGACAACACCAAGTCTAGGGTTGAGATCCCCTTACTGGTCATCTTAAAAAAAAAAAAAGTCTAAATAGTTTAACATATATTTTTATAATGAGAGAGAATAAAATATTTTGAGAAAACCCAGAGGCCCTTGACACTTTCGAAGTTCGTTGGATGTCAAAAAGTTTTAATTTAGTATTTTATTTAGGAAAGTTTGTCAAAAATATAAAACATTTAGAAAACTTGATTAAAATAGGATCACAGGTCACTGGAAAATAATACTGATTTATTCAATCAGAGTGGTAATCAAAAGACTTCAGCAGCAAATATAGACAGTTACACAGTTCTGGAAAAACAGCTCTTTAAATAGAGATTACTCAGGTTTGTTAAGTAAAGCCCTTAATAGAGTATCTTGTTTTCCTAGGCAGATTACTTATAAAATAAATAAAAATCTGTCACAAATATTTTATCAGGAGCAGGCCAATACTTAAAAAAAAAAAAAAAAAACTTTGTACCACGTATAGTTTGGATATGTTTGTCCCCACAAAGCTCATGTGAAAATCTGATCCCCAATGTGGCAGTGTTTGGAAGTACAGCCTGGTGGGAGGTGTTTGGATCATTAGGGTGAATCCCTCTTGAATAGATTTATACCCTCCTGGGGGGGGGGGGGGGAGNACTTTTTTAGTTCCCAGGAGAGCTGGTTATTAGAAAGAGTCTAGCACCTCCTTTCTCTCTTGCTTCTCTCTTATCATGTTTTTTTCCTTGACACACCCAGGCTACCCTGCCACTTTCCATCCTGGAAAGCCCTAAAAGCCCAGGCCAGATACAGTTGTTCCAGAATCCTGAACCAAATAAACCTCTTTTCTTCAGAAATTACTCGGTCTGAGGCATTCTGTTAATGCAACACAAAATCTAACACAGTACTTTTGATATTAAGGTTTACCATTTAAAAAATAACATCTATAAATAATTTCAAGTCTTAGCCATCTAGATCATGCATAGAATTGTATTTCCAGGATTCCAATTCCACAAACCTTGTATTGGTTCAGATTTTGTCCTTTACTCTTTCTTTTTCCCATTGTGGAATTACCAATCATCCTATGTTAGGACAAAAATTACTCTTTATCCCTTGCCAAAAACATCCATCTTACCTGATAACTTCACATTTTAACACAATAATTAAAATTACAACTGATCATGTTATAATAGGACTTGTCAGATTTCTTATATTTTATACAATTTCTGGAACATAATATACTTTTTTAACACCAGGTG